GGCTGGCCTCGAACTCACAGAGATCCGCCTGCCTCTGCCTCCCGAGTGCTGGGATTAAAGGCGTGCGCCACCACCGCCAGGCTCAGCTCTGTTCTTTTACACGTGCATTTCAGGCATTTAAACTCAGCTCATCAGGCTTGGCAGCAAGTGCCTTACCTGCCCTGTTTGTCCTTGTTTATTTCTTTGCTCTTTGGGCTCTTTGGGGGTGCTGGTCACCCAGCTCCCAAATAAATCACACGGAGGCTTATTCTTACTTATGAATGCTAGGCCTTAGCTTGGCTTATTTCTAGCCAACTTTTCTCAAATCATTCCATCTATCTTATGCCTCTGGGCCTTTACCTTTTTCTATTTCTATATGCCTTTCTTTACTTCTTACTCTGAGGCTGGCTGGGTGGTGGCCCCTGGTGTCCTCCTCTCCTCCTTTTTTCACTCTTTCCTCTTTCTTCTCCATAGAGCCTAGATTTCTCCTCCTATTTATTCTCCTGCCTGGCTATTGGCCGTTCAGCTCTTTATTAAACCAACCAGGTGTATTAGAGAGGCAGAGTAACACAGCTTCACAGACTTAAACAAATGCAACATAAAAAAAATGCAATACATCTTTGCATCATTAAACAAATGTTCCACAGCATAAACAAATGTAACCCATCTTAAAATAATGTTCTACAACACTGTTTATTTTTAATAGCAAAAATTGTGCTACTTGTTAATAAAAAAATTCATACAACGTGGAAGCACACTGTGGTTCTAGTCTTCAGTCACGACACTCTCCTTCCCTATGCGTTTTTCAGTCATCCCCCACAAATCCTGGAAGCCAGCCGCCTGTATGATCCCCCCCTTAACAGATGGGTAAATAGAGTCACAGAGAGATTGACTTGTGCTAAGACCACAGAGCAGGAAGTCAAGAGGCAGGATCCAACCTGAAAAGCCTGGCAGTACTTAGATATGGCCAAACACCTAGAAGTAACTCCATAAGAGGGATTTTTAAAAATATTTTAATTTACTTATTTTTAATTACACTCATGATATTAATTACATTTGTGGCATTCATTGATTACATTTGCAGTATTCATTCAATAATTATATTTATGATATTCATTAATAACATTAATTGTATTGATTTATTACATTCATGATATTATGTCCTGATACCACTGTCCGTTTGTGGGGTTTTTCCATCATACAAAACAGAGATTCTGTACTTGGGAAATCATTGCTCTATATTCCTTTCTTCTCCATCTTGAGATAACATCTAATCTTTCTGTCTCTTTGAATTTGTATATTCTATATATTTCAGGTAATACAATTCTATAGTATTTGTCCTTTTTTAATGTAAAAACATTTTATGTACAATTGCAGGGGAAATAATACACAGATAGCCTGAACATAAAAGTAGATTATAATTTAAAAGCCCAGGGTTATTTTAAACAGTAAAATATTTTTCATAAGAGGGATTCTTAAGAAAAAGGCAGGAGTTCTGTTTGAAAAATCGTAATTGCCAAACCAGGTGTGGTAACACATATCGGTAATCCCGGCACTTAGATGAGGACAGAAGGAGCAGATTCTGTTTAGGGTCCCCCTACAGCTACATAGAGAGAGTGTGCAACCCGTGTGGTGCTGAAGTCGGACCTGGGGTGTGAGCTCAGCCACAGTCCCTAACTCTGACCCTCCCTTTTCATAGGCCCTAACCAGAGGCATGCGGCTGCCCCGCTTCTCCAGCGCTGTAGTGCTTTCACTCTTGATAGCACAGACCTGCATCCTGGTCTTCCTGGTCTCCCGGCAAACGCCACGGTCCCCAGCGGGCAGCAGGGAGCATGTGCACGTGCTGGTGCTGTCCTCGTGGCGCTCGGGCTCGTCTTTTGTGGGCCAGCTCTTCAGCCAGCACCCAGATGTCTTCTACCTGATGGAGCCGGCTTGGCACGTGTGGGATGCCCTGTCGCAGGGCAGCGCCCCCGCGCTCCACATGGCCGTGCGCGATCTGGTCCGTTCAGTGTTCCTATGCGACATGGACGTGTTTGATGCCTACCTGCCCTGGCGCCGCAACATCTCGGATCTCTTCCAGTGGGCGGTGAGCCGCGCGTTGTGCTCGCCTCCGGTCTGCAACGCCTTTGCTCGCGGCCACATCAGCAGCGAGGAGGTATGCAAGTCTCTGTGCGCAACGCGGCCCTTCGGCCTGGCCCAGGAAGCCTGCAGCTCTTACAGCCACATAGTGCTCAAGGAGGTGCGCTTCTTTAACCTGCAGGTCCTCTACCCGCTGCTCAGTGACCCCTTGCTCAACCTACGCATCGTGCACCTGGTGCGCGACCCGCGGGCGGTGCTGCGCTCCCGAGAGCAGACTGCCAAGGCGCTGGCACGGGACAGCGGCATCGTCTTGGGTACTAACGGCACGTGGGTAGAGGCGGACCCCGGGCTGCGCGTGGTCAGTGAGGTGTGCCGCAGTCACGTGCGCATCGCAGAGGCCGCCTTGCACAAGCCACCGCCCTTCCTGCAAGATCGCTACCGCCTGGTGCGCTATGAGGATCTGGCCCGGGACCCGCTCACCCAGATCCGTGAGCTCTATGCCTTCACCGGCCTGGGCCTCACGCCGCAGCTCCAGACTTGGATCCACAACATCACACACGGCTCAGGGCCAGGCGCACGCCGTGAGGCCTTCAAGACCTCATCCAGGGATGCGCTCGTTGTGTCCCAGGCCTGGCGTCACGCGCTGCCCTTTGCCAAGATTCGGCGGGTCCAGGAACTGTGTGCCGGCGCACTGCAGCTGCTGGGTTACCGACCTGTGTACTCCGAGCTTGAGCAGCGGGACCTCTCTCTGGACCTCCTGCTGCCGAGAGGCATGGACAGTTTCAAGTGGGCTTCTTCCACTGATGCGCAGTCAAAATCTTAAGAGTTTTACTGGATGGGGCTGGAGAGATGGCTCAGAGGTTAAGAGCGTTGACTGTTCTTCCAGAGGTCCTGAGTTCAATTCCCAGCAACCACATGGTACCCTCTTCTGGCCTGCAAGCATACAAGCAGACAGAACACTGTATACGTAATAAATAAAATAAATCTTTAAAAAAAAATAATAATAATTTTAGTGGAGAGTCCCAGCTCTGACGTTAGGGCCTAGCAGAGTATGATAAAGAAAGGGCTTTGAGAACCCAGAAGAAAGTCCACTACCAGCAGCTGCGAGTGTGGGTGGTCTTGCCTTGTACTAGGAAAAGGATTGAGTCGGATTTCCATATTTTTTTTCCTCCCCAGATTACGGGTTTCCTTTGAGTCCTCTAGGATCTGGGTTCCCATCAAGCACTCTCCCATGGAAAATGAACCCCCTGCCCACGTCCTCTGGTCACGGGGGGGGGGGGGGGGCAGCCAGACTCAGACTTTCCTTTGTCCTTTCTCTTCTCTTTGGTAATACCATGCAGTAGCACAGAACGGTGTCCCAGGCCCGGTCGGGAGTGGAAGGGTACTGCTGTAGGCCGGCTCCTAAAATGTGTGCACCTCCTCACATTTGCTCACGCTGACCTCTCCACCCCTGTGCCCTCGTCTCATGGTCCATCGAAGGCTTGGATGGCGGTGTGCATGGTCGAGAAGGAATCAGAGAAGATGCCTCTTGTGGTTTCCTCTTAGACTCTTTGCCTGACCTGCTAGGGAGGAGCCCAGGCACCCCCCCCACCCCCCCACCCCACCCCCCCGTGCCTGAGGAGGATGAATTTTTAATGAGACTTTGATTTGTCCTGAAGTGAAAAATCCTAATTATGGAAATAAACAGCATAAATAAGCTGCATGATCCAGATTATAGTTTATAGCCTACCATGTTTGAAAAGTATCCCAAGAAGTAACAGGACTTGTCCGAGGTGACATTTTTTTTTTTTTTTAAGTTCTCCAACTTTGACACTCAGCAGCTTAGTTCTCATCCACATTGACTGTCTGTAGATTTTTGAATGTGGTAACAGGTACGTAAGTTACCAATGTGTAGAGCTTGTTTGGTGAGTCCTCATCCTCATTACGTTTTCTGGGCAAACGTACACGGATACAGTATGGAACATTCCTTATTCCTTTGGCCCAGATGGCTTTATTGAGCCTGGTATCCATGCGCACATCTGGAGTCCCCATCTCCTTCAGGGCAAATTTCCGGGTTTCTTTGAGTGCCCTAGGGGCACACTTCTTGAAGCCCACTCCATGGATGCGCTTGTGAACATGTTGACGGTGTATTCTCGGGTCACCGCCTCGTTGATGGCAGAACGGCCCTTCTTCTTCTCGCCACCCTTCTTTGAGGGAGCCGTTCTGCCGGGCCCAAGTTGGAAAGGACGGGCCAAGGTCACACCTTAAGAAGGGTGAAGAAAGGAGAGAGATGGATTTGCTCTGGGCGTGCAGTGGTGAGAGGGGTGATCCAACTTTGCTTAGCTCTGTCTCCTATCAGCAATAATACCCAGACATAGTTGTCCCTTATAAAATACAACTAGGGGAAACAGGAAATGGTAAAACTCTGGGTCCGGAGCAAAGAACCCCAAGTGTAACCTAGAAGGAGACAAAGAAGAGGGGGGAGGGAGCTGGGGAGATCTGGGCAGCAAGCCAAGCCCAGCCAGTGGCAGAGTAAGAGCCTGGCTGGGTCAGTGTCTGGGAGGCAGGTGGGGACAGGTCATGGGGTGCCTGGAGCTCAGGCTTGCCAGGAGCTTAGAAGAGAAAATGGCCTCAAGGGTGATTCTGCCTGGCGTTGGTTCTTCTGGACAGAGTATGAGTACTTCCTGCAAACCACACCTGGCTCTGATAGCAAGGGGCTCATTCAAGCGATGTTGGGCGTGCAGAACTTAGCCCTAAGCTCAGGAAACAAGAGCCAGTGAGTAAAGAGTAAATGTTTAAAAGAAGGGCAGTCTTCCTTCCTCAGGCAAGGACAAGGAAGTGGCTTTGAGCCCACACCAAGCACCGCAAATCCCACAGGGACACACACTGATCCGGGAACTCTCGATTGTTGTCACAACATCATCATCCTCATGGTTCTTGGTTCCTGATTCTCAGCACAGGTGTGGTCTTCAACAACTGGTAGAATTTAGCACAAAGGGGGGCAGGATACATGATTTGAAGACTTTAGGCTATTTTTGTGGAGAGGGGCTCATGCAGCCCAGGCTTTCATCAAACTCACTGTGTAGCTAAGAATGACCCAGAACACATGTGTGTGCACACATTCGTGTCTTAGTTACTTTCCTGTTGCCATAAGACACCATGACGAAGGCAACTTATAGAAGAAGGCATTTAATTTGGGGCTTACAGTTTCAGAGGGTGAGTCCACGACCATCATGTCAGGGAGCGTGGCAGCAGGCACAGCCCTCGAGCAATAGCTGAGAGCTTCCATCTTGAGACACAACAAGATGGCAGAGAGAGAGAGAGAGAGAGAGAGAGAGAGAGAGAGAGAGTTAACTGGGAAATGGCTTGTGTTTTTGAAACCTCAAAAACCCAATCCTCCTCCAACAAGGCTACACGTTATTCTTCCCAAACAGCTCCACCGAGTATTCATATATATGAGCATATATATGGTGCATGTAGAGATCAGAGGACAACCTTGGGTGTCTTCTCTTTCCACTTTTTAACTTTCTTATCACTGTATGCATGATGTGTATGTGGGAGCTCACATGTGGAGGTCAGAGGTCAACTTGGTGAGTTCCAGGATTCAAACTCGGGTCATAAGCCTTTTGTGTCAAGTGCTTTGACTCCATGAGTCTTCAGCCTTCTCCAGCCCTGGAGAGAGAGAGAGAGAGAGAGAGAGAGAGAGAGAGAGAGAGAGAGAGAGAGAGAGAACTTGCTAATGTATGTATGTGCCTGTGTTGTGAACCAACATGAAGGAACTGGTAATTGAACCCAGGTCCTCCGGAAGAGAAGCCAGTGCTCTTAACCTTGAAGCTGTCTCTCTATTTTCTTTGAAACAGAGTCTCTTGTTTTTACCACTGAGCACACCAGACTAGCTGGTCTTTGAGCTCCTGGGGTTCTCCTGACTGCACCTCCTATTTCACTGCAGGAGCCCTGAGGTTACTCTCTCTCTCTCTCTCTCTCTCACACACACACACACACACACACACACACACACACACACACACACACACACACATCGGTCAGCGTCTATGTGGGTTCTGGAGACTTGAACTCAGGTCCTCAACACAGCAAATGCTTTTACCCACTAGGCCATCTCCAAACTGTGACCTAGAACTTATGCCTCTCCTGCTGTTGTAGGTGAGAGACCCAAAGACCACTCAGCACCTCCAAAGCTCGAGTTGAGAGTCTGCACTCAGCCAGCAGCCCCTGCCTGGAGAGAAACACTTCTCATAGAGCAGCCCTGAATGCATATTACAAGGAATTTTTAAAGACAGAAAACACAGAAAAACTGCATTCTGGTTGGCAGCTGCAGGGGGAAGCAAGGAAGCAATTTAACAAGAGCCAAGAATATGCAGTTAGCTGGGGCGTTTCCACTGCCAGTTTCTAGAACAGGGTTAGGTGCTTTCCCAAGGGACTTTTCAGGGCAGGGGACAGGAACCAAAGATGGCTTCAGCTAAGATAAGATGGAGAACTTTGCCCTGTTACACTGCCTCCACCTCCTGAGTGCTGGGATTAGAGGCATTAATGCCTCTGCATCTGTTTTCTGTGGTATGTGGTATTGGGATTGAACCTAGGATTTCAGGCATGCTGGGCAAGCATGCTACCAACTGAGATTCACATCCTCTTCATCTTTCAAGCTTTCGAGGCTTCAAGCTATATAAAAAACTGTTTCTCCCCCTGCTGACAATGTGAGCATGATGTTTAAAGCCCTAATTTCATTTGTTTGTTTGTTTATTTATTTATTTATTTTTGGTTTTTTGAGACAGGGTTTCTTTGTGTAGTTTTAGTGCCTGTCCTGGATCTCACTCTGTAGACCAGGTTGGCCTCAAACTCACAGAGATCTGCTTGGCTCTGCCTCCCGAGTGCTGGGATTAAAGGCATGCGCCACCACCACTCAACTTGTTTATTTGTTTGTTTGTTTGTTTTTGAGATGGCATTTCTCTACATAGCCCTGGCTGTCCTGGGACCAGTTTGGCTTCAAACTCAGAGAGATCTGCCTGCCTTTGCTTCCTGAATGCTGGGATTAAAGACTGGCTGTTGCTGGAGGGCTTCTCTCCAGGTTCCCCAAGCCCCACAGTCCCACAATCCACTTATAAAATAATCACTCAGACGCTTATATTACTTATAAACTGTATGGCCGTGGCAGGCTTCTTGCTAACTGTTCTTATATCTTAAATTAACCCATTTCTATAAATGTATACCTTGCCACGTGGCTCGTGGCTTACTGGCGTCTTTACATGCTGCTTGTCCTGGCAGTGGCTGCAGTGTCTCTCCCTCCTTCTTCCTGTTTCACCAATTCTCCTCTCTCCTTGCCCTGCCTATACTTCCTGTCTAGTCACTGGCCATCAGTGTTTTATTTATATAGAGCGATATCCACAGCAACTGGCTAAACTCTAATTTTATTAATGGGCAGCTCAGAAAGTGACCTTAATCTACTTAGGCTAATGCAACAAAATGCCTTAGACTGTGCGTGTGTCATTTGTCTCATAGCTGTTCAGAAAGAACAACTTAGCAGGGAAGGAACCAGGGCTGGAGAGATGGCTCAGCATTTCAGTGGTGTCATTTCATTGTGACAGATTGCGGTGGAGCAGAGCAATTCACATCACAATGGGTAGGAAACAAGCAAAAGTGGGATACATGAATGGGCCAGAGCAAGGTACAGCCACGAGGGTACGCCCCCAGTGATGAGCTTCTTCCAGCCAGCTTTTGACCACCTTCCAATAATTCCATCACATTGGGAGTCATTCAAACCATCTATCCATTCATTAGGTCAGACCCACCATGGTCTAATGGTCTCAGATAAAGCCCTTAACAGACACACCCAGAGGCGTGCTTTACTAATCCCTTAGGTAATCCTCAGTCTGCTCAAGTTGACCATGAAGGTCCATCAGCACAGACTGTGACTTATAAACCACAGGCGAGGTGCTGGCAGTGTCTAAAGAATAGCACTTGGGTAAAGATGGTGCGTCTAGTTCTGTGATCACACTACGGGAAGGGACAGGGCAGCTCTCTTGGGCCTATTTATTTTTTAGATCAGGGCTTGTTATGTATTAGAATAACACCCAAGGTAGCCTGGAATTTACTGTGTAGCTAAGTAGCCCAGGTTGACCTCAGGCTTGTGGCAATTTTCCTGCCTGTGTCTCCCAAGCGCTGGTATTACAAGTCTGCTCCACCCTCCCAGCCTCAGGCTTGCTTTGTAAAGGGGATCCATCCCATAGCGAGGGCTTCAGCCTTTGTCTATCCAGTCACCCTAAGGTTGGTCCCCCTCCTAACGCCATCAACTTGGAAGCTAGGATTTATTCTTCCTGGCTTTCTTTTCTTCTCTGATGGCTCACTGTGTGGTCTGAGCTGGCTCAAACTCAGACCTCCTGCCCACCCTTCCTGAGCTCTAGGATTACAGGTGCATGCCGCCACACCCAGCACAAGACTGCAACACATGGATGTGGGGGTCCACAGCAGAAAGACTTGGTCCCTACAGCTCAATACATGAGCTGGGATTAAAACTCATAGCCTTGCCAGGCAGTGGTGGTGGTGGTGATGGTGGTGGC